TCCGAAATGTAACGGTAATGGACTGCGTGTTTGACGGACCCGATCGGGGATTCTATATAAAGTCTGCCCGGGGTCGGGGCGGTTAGTTCATTGGTCCAAATGGTAGTGTTGCCAACTCCAAACTATTGAAACATGGACATATCTAAATAATTTTTAATTTTGAGCAAAAATATCAAGAATATTCTCATTTATGCCCGTAAATCTCATATTTCTAACTATAATTGTAGATGATAATTTTATTTATTAAAACCTGGATCGAACACTAATTTTCCAGAGAATCCAATTAAAATAGAATGATTTGGCAACCCTAACCAAGGGCATTTCCACTATTAGATTAACTTATTTTACTATTTGGCTATTTAAGCAGCAAGATAATTATTATGTATTGTTTATTGTATACGATAGGCCCGGTTCAGGATATCCAGGTCAAAAACATTAAGATGACAAACATCAAAAAGGAGTTCATAATGATGGACATGACTTACCCCGATAACTACCCGAAGGAAATAAAGGCCGAAACCTTTAAGAAGACAACTCCGGTATATAAGGACATCACAATCGACGGCATAACGGGTGACGCGAAAAACTCCATCAGCATAACCGGCCTCCCGGAGTCACACATTGAAAATGTCAAATTCATGAATATAGAGTACACGTCCCACCATGATGATGGCGGTTTCTTGCAAAACTTTACCGATAGTATCACGAAATCAAATTTTACCTATCATTACAAAAAGGCCATGCTCGTGTGAATGAGTTGTAATTAAAAGGTAATTAAATAAACGCTTTAACTTATTATTTAAAAATGCTTGTTAAAATGTTGCAAGATATTTTAAATCGTCTATGATAATTAAACAGAAAAAAGTTGTATATTATGAATTTTTATTCAATATTTGCAATGTTTTGCTCATAATTCTGTTTATGTTTAATAATAAAATTTTTGTTTAATAATGTATAAGAATGTAATCTCTATTACATTGATTAATACTTAAATATAATTTGACAAATAAAGTATTTGTGTTAAAAAAATACCGATTAATAATAAAATGTAAAAACAATAAAACAGTCCATTAATTTTATTTTGCTTTTAAAAATGATCAGCAATTCAGCAATTATTGTCAATTTAATAAATAATTAAACTATTCTTAATTTTTAGATAATTTTTGAGTTCAATATTTTGCAATAATACATATAATTTATATGATTATTTACTTTGATAAAATTATTCTAGATAAATATTATGAACAAAATTCTTAATATTAATAATGTTGTTTCCATAATAAAATATTACTATTAATTGAATAAAAATTTAATGATGATTAATTTAATAATTATTCTAAACCATATTCATTATATAATATAACATAATATTCGTTAATATAGTCATTATATAATCATTTGGTTTATGTTTTAATAGTAATAGAAAACAAATTATGTTAATAAAATTAAAATGAATAAAGTGAATAATCGTTAAATAAATATCTCAATTAAAATTAGCAATTATTACTCAATATATAAATTCATTACAGAAATATGTAAAGTATTGTTTGTGACTAAATAAATTTTGAACTAATGTATCATTTTCATTAAAAATTTAATTACAAATAATAGCTATCATATAATATAATATATAATATACTCTATGATAAACAATTGCTTGAACACAAATAACTCTCAATAATTTGATTAAGACATTTTTAAACAAATATTTTGATTAAAATTCTCGACATTTATTAGTACTGAATAGCGATTAGTATTACTTATTACCATGTTATATTTAAGATATTATAGTTTTAGATTCATTTCTAGTGTTATATCGCTGGTAGTGAACGATATATTAGATATTCAAATACATTAAATCTTTTTCATATTAAAACTTATATCCATTTGTCTCATTCAGTGACAATCAAAATGTATGCAAACATGGCCTACATATTGGCTATTATGGCAGTCGGCGAACTTGTTTCCACACAAACTATCTCAGACGAGATCCTAAATACCAGGGGTATTGGCACCGGAGTATACGAGTACCTGTACTATACGATGCATATTCAAGGCAATCCCGGGCGGACCGCATCAAATGGATTTTTAAAAATCATTAATGAATTCAATTATAATTTAATTTGAGCTTTCAAATAACAAAACATATAAATTGCAATTTGATACATCAATATTCATATTACAATAATTCAATAAAAACATTTCATGTATTGATATTTTCATTATGTATTTAATTACTATCAAATATTTGCTCATAAGATTGTTATTAAAATATGATATATAAGTATAAATACCAACAAAATATAAATCTAAATATATTTGAAATGAAATTGATTGTATAGCTATTCACAATTAAATTTTGTGCCTGAATTGAAGTGATACCGGTAATAGTCCCCTCAAACACTGCCCTTGCTGTATGCTGTATGCCATATACTGAATGTTATAAATAATCAATAAAATGATTATAAACAAATTATCCATTGGTAAAAATTCACTGTATATTTATTTAATTTTAGATAAAGACTTGGAAAAAACCAATGATTTGTGGCTTTAATATCTGTTCATTAGATTTGACAACAATTTAATCCATTATTCAATTCCTTATGTATTCATTGGACGAGACTTTCCATGTGTTCGCAAACCCTATGAATACTATGAGAGCCGAGTATTCGTTGCGAAGCGGCCGCTAATCTGTCATTCATTTCCTTATCATTCAATAGACTTTGCATTGAATCCAATAACTCCTGTTCCGAGCACTCGTAGGGATCGAGTCGTATCCCAAACCCCTTTTCCTGAACCCTCTGCGCGTTGTCGTATTGGTCGGCAAAAAAGGGCATAACTATCATAGGCTTGCCGTACGCGAAGGTCTCGGTCACGGAGTTATTGCCGCCGTGAGTGATGACCAGCGATACGATTGGCAACACTTTTGTCTGCGGAACCGACGGCTGGCCCCACATGTTGTCCGCCAACTCATAGCTGTCTCCGAGCACTCCCTTCGAGACAATGAATTTGTGCTCACATTTGGACAGAATTGTCACAAATCTCTTCATGAGATTCACGTCTATTGAGGCCATAGAACCCAATGAGAGGTAAATGAGTCTCGATTTCTGTGGGTCTCTGTCGAGGAATTTGCGCGGAATTGCGAACTCCTGTTCCCCTCTTCGCATAAACGCGTCGACTCTCATCCACGTGTCAGGTATGGGCCGGATGTCCGTGTAGTCCAGTTCCTCGGGATAGCCGTAGATATTGAGGTACGGCGACGTGATTACCGATCCCTCCGTGGGAATGGTAGGAAAGCCCTCCTCTTTCATCCATTCGTTATAATATGCTTTCGATGTGGCGAACGGTTTGTCCGATATTTCTCGAAAGGCTTTCCACTCACTCCGGTCCCCATATGAGGGATAACCTGTTTGTTAGCAAATATTTTAATAAATATTTTTTTAATTAAATTAATTCATTAGTCAACTTAATATTATGAACTAAAATTTTATATAACTATATAATTTTATTAATTATACTATTTACTTTTTATATTACTGTTAGCATTGAATATCATAATTATTAATTATTGTATCTGTACTTTTTAAAAATAATTATATTTTATAAGTAAGGTGTAACAATGCTTAACATGTTGACTAATAGTTTACAATTTTTAGAAATGCTAACTAAAATTTCTAGGTGTTTTTTAATATTACTAAAGTTTATTAATAATAAACATTATTGTATTAAAATTCTGTATAAATACACATTACTTGCGATAGAATTGTGAGTAAACTTCACAAATGAACACAAATACTAAATTAAAAACAACACTGAATTGTGCGCTAACCTGAACCCCCCGGGGGTGTCCTGTCATCCCTGATCACAAACAAGGGATTCGCGGAAAACACGTAAACCCACGGCTTATTTGAGTGGATCAAAGCGGGCGAACCCACGAAGTCGTCGATCACATAGAGATCCGGATTATATTTCTCGACAATCGCCCGGAGTTTGGGCTCATTTGCGCGCATCTTATCGACCATTTTGTTCATATTCGTCGAGTTTTGCATTATTTTCATCTTTTCCAACGACGATATGCCCGACAGTAGACCCGATTGGAGCAGACCTTTGGCCGCCATTTCGCCCGGTTTTTGGTCCCTTTGGTCGTCGGAAGTGAGTATCTCTTCGCTGAACCCAAACGGAGCCAACTTTCCCGCCCACGACTGGTGGCCCACGAAGACTATGCGATGGCCACGACTCTGCAGTACTTCCGCCAAACCGATGCACGCGTTCACGTGTCCCACGCCCTCCATGGGTGCCACCAATATTGTCAACCGTCGCACCATTTTCTCACAGATTGACAATATTTATCGTTTTATTTTAAGTAAATTTAAGTTTAATAAATGTTTTCTACTTTACATTGAATATGTATTTTTACAAATAAATAGTGGCATTTTGGTTTTCTTATTTTTATAGCATTTATAACAACTTTTTTGTACTCTCGGTACACATTTTTGTGATAAGGTTATCTTAATTTGTAATCATAGTATAGTTTATGTTTAGGAATAAACTTTACCAATAAATTAGATAAAAGTATATAAAATATTGTACTCACAATGCAAGAACGGCAAGTGTTTACGTTAATTGCAATTAAAACCGAGTGAATTATAC